GGTTCACCGGGGTCGGCTCAGGCTCACCAGAACCAGCTTGGGCTCGCTGGGTGGGGCCGGCTCAAGCTCACCGGAACCGGCTCAAGCTCACCGGAGCCGGCTCAGGCACACTGGGACCAGCTCCAGCTCGCCGGGGCCGGCTTGGGCTCGCCGGGGCCGGCTTGGGCTCGCCGGGGCCGGCTTGGGCTCGCCGGAGCCGGCTTGGGCTCGCCGGGGCCGGCCGCTTGGCTGGGCTCGCCAGGGCCGCCCCGAGCTCGCTGGGCATGGTTCAAGCTCGGGCTTGGGCTCGCGCGGGTGCCACTGAACTCGCACGGGGCCCGTCGAGCTCACACGGAGCCGGGCTCATACGGGGCCGGGCTCGCACAGGGCAGGCCTCAAACGAGCCTGCCCGGGCTCACACACGGCTGGGCTTGCACGGGACCAGGCTCACACGCGGCTGAGCTTGCACGGGGCCGGGCTTGCACGAAGCCCGTTTGGCTCCCGCGGTGCCCGCTCGGCTCGCACGGGGCCGGCTGGACTCGCATGGAGCCACGCTCGCACGGGACCCACTTGGCTCGCAGGGGGCCCGCTGAGCTCTCACGGGGCTGGGCTCGAAGAGACGGGGCTGGGCTCACGCGGGGCCGGCTGGGCTCGCACAGATCCGGCGGGACCGGGCTCGCACGGGGCCCGCCTCAACTGGCACAGGGCTGGGCTCGCACCTGGCTGGGCTCGCACGGGGCTGGGCTCACACGGGGCCGGCTCGGGCTCGCACGGAGCCGGCGATGCCGGCTGGGCTCGCACGGGGCGGGGCACGTTATGGCCCAGGCCCGCACAAGGCCGGGCCCGCACGGAGCTGGGCTGGCACGGGGCCGGGTCCGCAGGGAGCCGCGCTCGCGAGACCAGGCCCGGGCTCGGGTTCGCGAGGCTGATTTGTCCGAAGCATGCAAGACGGGGCCGAATCGGGCTCGCGGCGGAAACGGCAGCGGCGAGCCCTCTCGGGTTCGTGGCTTGGCTTGCTACTCTGGCGGGCTGAGCCAGGTATGGCCTCGGGTTACTGTACACGCGTAAAGGCTTTCACATCTTAAAAAACTGCAACAACAACAAAAAACAGCGCTCACTCTTATTCTCGTTCGCGTTCGACGTTGCAACTCTTTGAGCCTCTCAAGCTGCTTGAGTGTTTTTCTTCTCTCTTTCTCGTTTTCAAAATAGTCAAGGAAGCTAAAAAAATCTTGCTGCAGTAAGGAGGAACTTCCTAGCCCACTATATTTGCCACGTGGGGTCCAGAGGAGCAACTTCCCTAGTTATAAGTATGATTTGTTTTCAATATGTATCTAGTGGTTCTCCTCTAATTGGTCTAGGTATTCTTAGAAATGGAAGTGTCTGAAAATGACTGTCAGTGACAGCCTACAACTGAATAAAAACCTAGATTCTACTACTAGGCTCGTGTTCTTCTCTGTAGACATCCTACAAATAAATCAAAAACTGTAGCCTTAATTTTAGAAAACTCGTGCTTCGGAAACAGCTTCTGGACCGGAGGCACATCCAAGTCTCCTCCTTTCATGGGCACGCCTTTGGGCAGACCAGGAATCTTAGTCGGTGCTGGCTTGGGTTGTGGAACGTCCAGACTATCGACTGATTTACTTCCCAATTGAACGCGCATGAACTCCTGTATCATCTTCATGTCGTAAGGGCGCTTTCCGTACACGCCCCCACCTTTGCCCTCGAGAACGGCCGGTTTTGCGGAATATGAAGGCGGTGGGGTGTCAATTGATGATCTAATGGAAATTTTCTAGCTCTTAAAGAACTCAGTTCAATGACGAATGCAGACGACTATGCATATATGCCATATCTTTTCCAGATCCAGTATCGTGTGTCCGGGATAGGACTTGTATTGCACGTCATTAGCCTCAGCGCATGGTTTTAGGACTGCGTCAAACTCCGCGAATTTTGGCTCTGAATCGTACTCGTAAAATACCCGTTGCAAGCACAGATTTCCCACTTCTTTCGGCAGTAGCTCGCGACGACCAGTCTTTGCTCCGGAAGAAGAGGTCCTCTTCGCCCCGGGTGGCGTCATCAAGGCAGCAACCACTTCATCGGGCTTGCCTTTAGTTAGAAATTCAACTCGATGACTAGGTATAGGCTCTGGCTCGTACTAGTAGGAAATAACGAAGAGACCGGATGTGAAATTCATCATTTTCACGACTAAGAAGTTGTTAGGCTACTCAGGTGATTAAACTCGGAACATAACTTGAAGACCAACAAACGCGAGTTATATTTCTGCCGCAACTGCGCATCCAGATCACTCAAACACTCCAGGATGAACGCATATCTATGCGGTCCCACACGCGGATCCAGCGTTTGCGTGTCGAGGACGAAAAAGTTAGAGCTATCGCGTTCGCATCTTCTTCCGTGAGAGCATGATCCTTGGGGGCTTCTTTGTCACAAGTAGAAGGAAAACAAGGAGAACCTCCAAGGATCATCATGATACAAGGAGATGCATCAGCATCTTCAGCGTCTGTAGCCTTAAAAAACGGAACAATGCTTCCCCCTCGTTTCTGTTCCTCTTCGCATGCTGCGAGTAGGGGTAGATTGTCGTGCAGGCGCAAGCCTTTGCGAAACCACACGCCTGTGACGCTCATTTTGCTTCTCGTAAGTAAATATCCTGTTCTTCTTAAGAGCATTCAAACAAATGTTCAAATTCTTGTCTAAGTGATAAATATCATACTGCTTTTAAGAGCATTCAAATTCTTGTTAACGACCAACGAATCCTCCAGGTATTAATGATCCTCCGTCAGCACAGTGTAGCAAATATAAAGAAGATAATCAAATAAAACCGATCAGATAACTTCTTGCTCGAGGTTTCACTGATCTTATTGTACTAACGTGTGAAAGAGAAGTTAGATGTATAGATGAATAACCAACCTACTCTAAATGCCTACTGCGGTAGGCACTACTGAAAAGAAGGTATGAAACGAACAAGAATGATAGTGCTAGAATCAGAAGCGTGAACCAAAGGAAACAAATCCAAGCAAGTAAAATCAATCTTCGAGAATGAGGGGGTAGAAAAATCTTCTTGCGAAAAAGTGAGCCTGCGGAGTAGATGGGGATGAGGATCATTTCGATGAGAAGTCACACATCAGCCCAAACATCAGGCTCACGCATAGACCTGAGACGGAGAACGTTACGTCACACTTATGAGAAGAAGCTTAGACACCAATTTATTACGTAGTAGATGGGGAGAAAGTACTACTATTCGTTTTCGACCTCGGAAAAGACTCTCGTACTCGTGCTCACTAAAAATTTTTGACATCATGCACAGGAGGGCTGTCACCATGGTGAGAGAACAAGAAGATGGAGAAAGGCTTGGGACGAAGACTTTTCCCGACGTGAAGAATCCCAAAGCAGACACTCGCACGATGTTGAGCATATCACTGTGTTATTTCTTACAATTGATATCACTGCGCAACTTTGGTACACATTGGACACAAAAACATCTCTTGTCCGGGAGAATTCGTTATCCCCAATAGCATGCGAATTCCTCTAAAAAATTCTGACTACCCATGAATAAAAAGTGATGAAGAACTTACGCAATTATGCGTTCTGAAAACACAGCAACTCGTAGCAGGCTTACAACAAGTGCGTTCAACATCTTTTACAAGTATCTTGTCTTCCCGTTTTCGGTAACAACTTTGTACATTTTTCCATGCTCCACCGATAAAGGATCATCGCACCACAGCTTGATTTGATCAGCGAGTGAGTCCAGTGGGGTCCACGAACTGAAGTCTGCGGGAGTATGAAAGCGGTAAAAATCGGGAAACCGAATACTCATTGATTGTACGTACAGCTTGTGCGACCTCATTGTGAAAATATTTCTAATGCTCATTCTCTTCCTAATCAGCACCCCAACGAGTCGAAGACATTCTTGTTCCCAGAGAAACTAAAACATCACTCAGGAACAACAGGTGCCTCGTTTCTACAACTTCAAATTATTTTACGAGCCATAATCAGGCATCCCTTTTCGATTCATTTCGGTATCTAGCGTGACAGGTGCGATGCCAAACACGCGCAGCTCTTCAGGTAGTCCTGCTGTGGCTGCGTCTGCTGCCATGGAGTCTAGTAGACTGTGGACGCATAGTATGAAAGAAGTAGAGGGTCGATGCCGATCAGCATTCAAGGAATGGATGTCCTGCATCAAAAGTTTTTTTCAAAAGTAGAATACTGAGAGAGCAGAAAAGTGTTATGTTTCTGGTTAGGTACTTCCTATTTCTAATCACAACAATTAAGTACAACTCGACATCATGTGGACCTTCATCCCTTGACCATACCTGCCTTTGCCACTATGTAGGGCAGCATGAAAGCCGGCGCCGCACCTGCAGTAGGCAGCAATGGCGCAGCTCCTGGTAATAGTAGGAGCGGTGGCGCTGTACCGTTTGAAGATGTTGCGCCAGACGTAGATGGTGATGCAGTTGAAAACTTAGCAGCAACCGATGCCGCTATTAACGAAGCGTACAAGCTGCTCGATACCATCTGCTCATTAATTTAGAGGTCTTGACGAGCTTTTGTTTTCTGTTTTTCACGTTAATACTAGACAAGTGGAGATTAAGAGTCGGACCTCTGAAAAGCAAGTAACTGTTATCTCGTCCGTCAAATGTCACTGAAAAAGACACATTTTTACGACCCATAAGTATTTTTCAGCAATAGCGGTTCTATCGCGTTTCCTCCCGCCCAGCCTCCACTTAAGCACAAGACTGCAGAAAGCCCTCGACCTCCATTGTCCTTGTGCCGTAGAAAGTCTCCTGCTTGCTCTAGTACCATCTCCTGTTGAGCAGTCGGGCTTTTCGTCGCGACATCGACCTGCACACTAGCGTCGCAATCGCTGTTCTTCCCTATGTCCACTCCGAGAAGTCTAGCGCCACTGCTCTTCAATGCGCGCACTGTGCTCCGACCGAGACTGCCGCAACTTCCATAAACTAGAATGGAAGATCGAGATGAGAGAGCCATCCTTGTTTGCGTTGTCGCGCAGAAAGGAATCGCTTTTTTCGCTCTACTTAAATTGCTGAAGAAGATTGACTTTAGTTTCTTTAAACCTTTTTCTTTATTTTCTAGTCGTGGTACACTCTTGTTCAGTCTCGCATTTTAACCTCAGCGCTGTGAGTGTATTTTCTACTACCATCGTGTAAGTACATCAGTCACCACGCTATTAATGCTTCACTCAACATCTCAACATCGCGTGTATGTGCGGAGCGTCAATCGCTTTACTGATACAACTGCTACCAAGTCCTAGTTTTTTTTCGTTGAATTTCCTTGCTTTTCGTACTGATTGAGTGTTCATTCGATGGGGACTCCATCCATGTCAGTGTTCAAAAGGGGCATTAGATTTCATAAACACGTTGAGGGTAAATTTTTTCAACCCATGTTAATCCTAGAAGTCTGAAGAGATCTTCTTCCACCACGACTCATTACAACACGCGTCAAGTCTCATCTTCGCAATCCCATTTCTTAGAAGCCAGCCTCGCCTCCTCCTGCTCCTCGACATCGCCTATTTGCCTCTTAAACCACTCCCGTATTCGCGAAGGCATCAGTGATTCGTCTGTCGTGGTGGAGAGAACATTTTTCCCGACAACGAGTAGTTTCCAGAGTAAGCCAAAATTACAAGCTGCGTTCATCTGCAATAACGCTTCCAGCATCTCAGGGTCTATCGAATCATTCCTACCCGCACCGCCAGAGCCACTCACGTCTGCCGCATCTGCTTGGAGGTCTACAATTTTCTTATCACTTTGACCTACGTTCCAGCTGTCCATTTCCTTAATCAGGTTTCTCCGCTCTTCTAGCAGAAACGGGTACAGATATCTCAAGCTTGCCGCGTTGAGCCAGTTGTGGTTGATGGAGATCGCGTCCGTCATATTCTCAACCATGTGCGCCCAACAAGCGGGCACAAATAGCAATTCCCCTGGCTTTTGGATGATTTCGATGCAGTAAAGGGGAGTTTTAGGAGTTTCTTGATCCGACACTGGCAACTGTGAATCACAATAACTACTTCGTAGAATCCGACGAGACGGGTCGCCCTTTTCTCCACCATCAACTTGAACTTCCTCCCAAGCGTCGGGATTCTTAAAGTCCAGATCTTTGATGTTTCGTTTCTCGTCTAATAACCTCTCCAAATCCGTATCCCGAAAGAGTCGCCAGCGCTTATATCCGCAGATATTGGCCGACCAAGAGTAGCTACACGCAACGTCGAAGTGCATGTTCGTACAAGTCCCTTTACGACCGACGTATACAAATCGATAATCCTCCTCCTCTATCATGCTGTGGTTGAGCCAATCGAAAACAGGGCTTCCGCCGAGGAAAGCGGGAAGCAAATCGGCGTAAAGAGCTTTGGTTGAAAGATGCTCATCGTGTTCCTGGGGTCTAGACCTAGCACTAGGGCTCGTCCGGTCCGTCTCGCCAAGCCGCTCCTCCGTCTCCAACTCCTTTTGTAGATGCCAGTCTTTGACGTATATTGCAGACGTTTCGTTTTCCAGACATTGACGAACGGTTCGACACCTTTCTTCTTCACGACACGAAATATTTTCATCACAGCCATCGTTCGGTGCTTTCCGATCTCCGTAGAGCGCTAAAAAGGCGTCCAAGCTGTCCCACTGCTGGAAGGCACCCCATTGTGAAACCAGCTCGGTTATCAACACTGGACGATTCGGTAGGAGGTATTTGTCGCAGAAGGTTGTCACATCTAGGTCGGCAATGGAGACACGTTGAATTATGCCGAGATCGATTGGAACATCATGGTCTTCTCCGTTTGATACGGAGCTCGTCACTTGTATCCTATTATCCATTTCGATGGTGGAATTATTCTTTTCATCGTTTTCGACGACATACGATCACTTGTGTAATTCTACATATTGTAGATGTGAATCACGACAGTTCCAGTGAATCCTTGGGAGTACGTGTTGTTGATGGGGCAGCACAACAAAAACTCAAAACCTAGACGTAATTATGGTAATCCACAGGCTCTCTGTACAGTGCATGCATCAGGTTAGATTAGGTGTGGGCCCACTAGGAAGACTAGCGGATGCATCGATAAAAAGGGTAAAAAAAGCAAAATAGGTTTATTCTCGTAGAAGTCATAGATATAATATCTTTCTTGTTAACCCTTTTCTTCTTCTCGTCTTGAATCAAATTCTATCATCGCCTCCTTCCGTACTTACTAGTCAAGCCAGCTAAACCTATTAGATCCTCCATCTCTGCTTCATGATGAGATCAATTCTATCAATGTATGATCTTTTCTTTTGATCACTGCGATCCTGCTTGGGCACTACAATCACGAGTGCAAATCCTCATGATCTTCAAGATCATCACCTTTTTGCTCGGGATCTTCAATTGCAGACCTCGATTCTCCCCAAGTAGGAAACGTCAATTGCAGACCTCGATTCTCAAAGATGAGATCGTTTTTGACTGGATCCATCGGTTGGCCGACACCACACTGACTGCATCGGCTTCTCGACTGCCTTTTTTCCCCTTCATACAAGTATCAGGCTTGTTCTTAGAAGAATCATGCAGTTCGTCGTAAGCGCGAAGCTGCTCAGTAGTGAACCCACTCATTACTGGTCCAGTGCCAGGAGGTCCTTGTCGTGGAAGGGCTTTTTCTAGGTCAAAATAACTGTTCTTCCCTGTACCAATCTTCCCTGTACTAGTACTTCCAGGATGCACCTTATTTGAGTATAATGCTCCGCTGTTGTGGTCCTGTGAGTCGTCGGGCCTTGGAAACCCGAAGCAGTCGTAGAGGCAACAACGGTACGTATTGCGGCAACAGAGACAGCAGCCGCCGAAAAAAACGAGGCACATTGCAATGCCTACACCGTACTGGACGACGCTCATTTTTTTTGAAAATGATGATGCTGAGACGCGGAGTATGAGATTCAGGTTGAGCTTAAGAACGAGTAGGAAACAAGAACTGTAGAACTCATATAATACAAATGTGAAGGTGCTTGTTCTTGATACCTTACAATGTAGTAGTTACAAGTTGTTCCCCTTGATGTATGAGTATTGACTACTTTACAATGTAATCCAAAATCAGTTTCAGCCCGCCTAGTGTATTGTAAGCTGTACTAGTTGCTGCCGAGACATATACCCATCTACCAACCTTTCAGAACCTGTGTAAGTAGATTCGTAGTGCTCTCAAACGTTCACTTCATCTTGCAGTAACAATAGATACCCAATCTCACGAACTCAACACTCAGGATCTCTCTTGTTGAAGTCTTTCTAAAGGTCTCTCGTGAGTTTCCTCTCTCTCTCTTGACGGGCTCTCTCAGCATCGCTATTCCATAACGTGTTTCTTGACAAGGTCTATTTCACTCGTCTCTCATTCCTTCTGATACAAAAGCAGTGTCGTTAATAAGCCTAGCATTAAGTAGATTAAGAGAATTCTGGCTTGCGACACGCAGGGTCCAGAAAGTCTGGCGGGGGCAGTGCATTTGTATAGTAACCAACAACAACTGTCGAACACACACACGTCAGTCTTTGGAGATTCATTCCAACTATAGTTGGAGCCGTCTTCTTCTTGGGTTAGATCTCTTGCGACCTGACAGGGAAAAGGTGCGACCTTGCAGGGAAAACGGAAAGAGGGGCACTGGGGGAGGAAGATTTATTCAATTTTTCATATGATGATGTTCATGATTACATGTAGATAGGCATGTGTGAGGGAGGGAAAATTACATTCATTCGAAAGAAGTACCATGTCAAGCTTGTTGCGTCGGGAATCACTCTTAACACTTCTGTTCTTCTACCAACAGTTGAACTAGAAGTCTTGCTAAAAAATTCACGATCCGCCAAGTTCATCTTCTTTTCTCATAAATGTTGTCTTTGTTGAGACTAAAATGCGTAATGGTGATGGTAACACTTATACCATACCATTACGCTTTGCCAAAGGATTCAATGTACTAAAATAAACTATACTCTGTCGATCCAACCTCTTCTTAAATACACAACAACAAAAAACTTACTTCTATTTTCTAATTGATGCGGAGATGTGGCGGTCTAAGGCTCTCTTTTCTATGAAGAATAAGCGCGCCAAGCAAATTTGTGCATATAACGAGCGGTTTTACAGCTTCAGTCTGGGACCGGAAGAAACAAGTCACTTTTTCTTGACACAGGAGTCCCACCTTATACGCGAAGATAGATATGATCACCTGCGACAGGGTGATATTCTATGTTCACTTCTCCATTGAAAGGAGAAGACTTGTCGCGAAGAAGACACATCACTATGAATGTCGTTGAGGGACCATGTTTATCGGTTGAAATCTTGTAGATCATACTCAACTTATAAATACCACAAAAAGGACGATCGATGTCCAAAAATACAACTGGTCTTCCTTCAACAAAGAGGAACTTCTTACTGAGCGGGGGAGGAATAGATTGATATTCAGTATCCAACGTTGTGAGTAAGAATAAGAAATAGTTACCCAGATTTCTCATTCTCATCTATCAATCCGTACACTACAACTAAATGTCAAATGATGAATATGTTCATGACATACGTTTATGTAGCTTTTTTTGGTACAAGAATCTGGACACTATGCGAAATGATGATCAACATAGAGTGCATTTTACCGCTGGAAGTAATACTAGATGATGATAACCTAGCTCAGCTGATACATGATTCGCCGCTCGCAGGTCAGAATCTGGCTTGACATAAAAGCGCACCCCCAGCGGTCAGAGATCGTCGATGTTAACAGGATCAAAGAGTGTCGAAGTGACGATCCGCATGGTGATGACTAAACTCTATTCGCTCCTCCACCAACATGCCGCCTCACTCATCAGTCGGCGTACTCCCATCCAGCAATTCCCAAATATTCGGTGCCCGTTTCGTCTTCTTTTCTTTGTCTTTTGCCTTCTTCTTCAAGACTAGAAGTTGTTCACCATCTAGGCCACCTGGATTTCTCCTGATATTGACCGCGTCCATCACAGCGTCATGTAGTAGGAAGTCGCCCACTTCAGAAAACACCGTATTGCTCAACAGCAAATGCTGCTCGAATTTCTCCGAAACTACTGCTGGATCAAGTTGGTGTGCTGCTCCTGGAGCAGAACTACTGCTGCTCATGACTTCTTGTACCACCGCATTAGCTGCCTTGGCATTTCCCTGTGTCTGGGTCTGCGCGAGTTTGAGGACACGCTTCGCAACTTCCGCAGCGGCGTTTTCATGTGGCTGAATCTTTTGCCCACGCGGTGGATCGTCTAGGAATTTGTTCGCGCTGTACCTTCTAAGCAGTTTCATCAATGGCGCGAACTCAGCCTTGTTGCTCCACGGATTGCCCTTGTCCTCTCGCCGGAAACCACCAAGGGTAGAGGTCATGTTGTCTTGTTGTCGGGCACCGCCAGTGGAAGAACTCGAAGTCTTATTATTCCCTGTAGCAGAACTACTTGACGCTGCTGGTGCGACGTCTGCTTTCGTCGGGAGAGTAGTAGAGGAGGTAGCAGCAGAAGGTTCTCCTGCTCCGCCAGCACCGCCAAATGCTCCGCCAGCGCCAGCTGTGGTAATTGCATTCGTATTCGTCGTAGTAGCTGCGCCACTAGGAGTTTGCTCCGCTCTTGAAGAGCTCGCTGAGGACCCTGGTTGAGACGTCAGTATCTGAAATTGGCCATTTTTGCTGGCCGCTGCGTGTGCGTTTGAGGCTGCGATCTGCGCGTTCGCCGCAATCTGGTGCTGCGCCGCCAGTTGCTGCTGCGTCGCTGTCAAGATGTTGATGTTGTTCTGCAGCACAGCGTTCTGAGCCGCAACCTGCAGGAGCATTGCGGCATTGGCTGCTGCCGGAGCAGGCACAATTGGACCTGGCATCGCGCTCAACAATTGGTGCTGCTGCGCCAACTGCTGCTGCGCAAGTTGCTGCTGCAACAATTGCGCAGACACATTAGCGAGTCTCTGCTGAATCTGTTGCCTATGCGCAGCAGCGTGCTCGGCAACTTTTCCTACTTGCTGAGCAGTGAGAACCATTACTCCACTGCTTGGGGTCGCGCCACCGCCGCTGCCTGCTGGAGGGAGAGGGAGGGTGGTACTAGCGAAACCGGAAGTATTCAAACCTGCTGGCGTCGCCCCACCACCTTGCACAGACCCTGTTGCTCCACTTGATCCTAGTGGCATACTCAGAACCGACTCGCGCTCAGTTTTCGCAGGTGAAGCATCGCCGTCGGATTCACCCAAAGATTAGAAGATAAAAGATAGTCCAAGTTAGTCCCTGATCAAGTAACAGCATGTAGATCATGCTTTGTATGTACTAAGTTGAAAACCTATCAGAGACGCCTTAACATCGCAGGTCCCTCACGTCTCCGTCGCTGCCGCTTCCTCCTATCAAGTCCTCGAACATGGAGTTCACGTAGTGGCCACTCCGATTTGACAGCAACGCAGTCGCAACCAACTGATCTGAGGCGATTAGGATGTTCTTTTTCGCCAACCCTAAATCTTTGCAAATGCGGAGAGCTAAGATCGCAGCCGCCAAGTTCGCCATGCCTCCTGTCGACGCGTTGTGGACAGGCGGCTGATTATTACTCGTGTTCGAAAAATCTGCTAGAGCCACAAGACTACTCTTCATCCCAAACTGATGAGCTGGAGGAAGCTTCAGCTGTGAAGATGAACCGCACCTCTTGTCTCTTGCGTGAAGATCCAAGCCCGTGACACTGCTACGAGCAGACGCTGCTCCGCTCCTGTCTCCTGCTCCACTCGCGACTACGAAAGAGCCATGATGGGACTCTTTTGTAGAAGAAGAAGAAGAAGAAGAAGAAGACCCTGCTGCCGCTGCTGTCCCTGTTGAAGATGCTAATGTCGTGTTAATAAACAAACCACCTTCCCACATCTTTGCGACTCTGGCTGGTGGCAGACTTTCTGGTGGTGGAGCTGCTGCGGCTTTCTTCTTCTTATTCGTGCCAACTAACGCCTTAGGATCCGGTTTCGGTGGCGTGACTTCTTCAACCGCAAAGATTGCTATGCCTAGAGAAATGCCACGAGAACCAACCATGCCAGCTGTGTTGATGAGGACGCGAGTCCCCCATTCTGGCCATGGGACACGAGGAAACACTGCAGGACGACGCCAACGCCATGGTGGAGCTGTGATGTTTATACATTGTGAATGTCTGTGAGCAGATGAAGGTGAAAATGGCCCATCAAAAAAGTGTCATTTGAAGGCGCACGTCCATTTGACTCAAGATGATCATCTGCTTGCAAAAAAAGAATGATCTTCTACACTTGGCATACCAACCAAAATACCTTTTGGTCCTGAGTGCTTCAACCAAGTGCCTTGCACCTCAGAAACTTCACCGAGTGGCATTTTCCACTGGTTGTCGTTGCCGAATTCCGCAAAAAACACATTTCTATCACCGTTTTTCCAAGCTATGCGTCCAAGGAGGAGATTACTGCTTCCACGAAAAACTCCAATAGCTTGATCCGGCGTCTCCCATACCGTTAGCACGTTGTCCTGATGGAAGAAGAAAGGACGTACTATTTCTACTTCGTTGAAGATCCTGTGGACAGACTTGGATAAATTTGTCACTGATGTTGATCCCAAGTTACAGGAGAAGGACAAATGTTGCTGTTATTTAGTTCTTGTTGTTTCAGATAAAAAATTATGAATTTTTCAAAGAGAAAAATACATTTTCGTCCATCCAATATCCTCTCAGCTTCGTCCCGATGGCTGCTAATACTTCGAGTGCGTTGTTGGGTTTACCAGCTTTTCCCATAGCTCCATATGGGTCTTTCCCCATTGCTCCGTAGGGGTCTTTTCCCATTCCAGCTCCATAAGGATCTTTACCCATCCCATAACCACTAGGGTCTTTACCATATAGAGAACTGCTGTCCTTACCATATGGGTCTTTGCCTGCAGCCATAGCACTATGAGGATCCTTACCGTAGCCTGTTGCTCCATAGAGGTCTTTACCTGCTCCATACATCATGCTCTCCTTGCCGTAGCCGTCTTTACTTCCATAGCCGTCTTTACTTCCATAGCCGTCTTTACTTCCATAGCCGTCTTTACCATAAGAGTAGCCGTCTTTCCCATATCCACCAGAAGTACCTCCATAGAGATCTCCTGAACCTCCGTGGTATCCTCCGTAGCTAGAGCCACCTCCTGGACTGGCCATGATAGACGACTGTTGGTGTTGTCCTCCATAAACGCTGTGAGTGTCAACATGTGGTCCTGCCATGAACCTAGGATCCGGATGATACGGCGTGCCTAGAATCTGAGCTACAGCATACCGACTCCGGCCGCCTCCTGCGGAACCGCGCATGGTTCGGTCTCTCCTGTTTCGCGGTTTCTTATCCACTGCTGGCGGCGCTGGGGTCAACCGTGCGGGCAAGCAGATACGCGCAACCTTGATTTGCGGCGGTTGATTTCCTTGTCCTTGTTTTAGAGCTCACCCTAATCCATCCCGAAATGCGTCCTAGGTGCCTTTTCCCCTTGAGAAGCCTCATGGGGATGCTTCCAGAGATGGATTAGGGTAAGCCTTAAGTGTTGTTGAGCAGAGGTGGCGTTGTTCCAGACACTGTTTGTGTTTGAACCTCCAATTGAAGGGGCTACTTCATCAAGTGATCTGCTATTATAGACAATGTTGACGCTTCCTCGTTCCATCCATTCTCTACGAGTGCTAGTAGTGCTGACTTTCGACACGACACAACGCTCGGGGTCGTGCGGCTTCAGTTCGACGTGGAACAAACCTAGAGGTTGTTTCGTCACGCTAACGACCATAGTAGCCATGACAGCAGTGGTGGCGACCGCACGCGAAGTAGATGTCGCAGGTACTATGGCAGTGGATGTAGATGCAGGGCCAACAGGAGCTCCTGTTGTTGTGTTACCAGCAGTACTTGAAGAAGAAGATTGTGGTTGCTCCTTCATTTCAGGCGATTGACCAGGTCCGTCAAAAACTGAGCCTTTCCCTTTTGCACCTGCTAAGGGGACTTTGAATGCTCCGGGACACGGCGACCGCGGGAACATAGAAGAAGTGCCTGTCGTGTTTGAGCCTCCACCTGCCGTCACATTCTCTAGTGCAACTGCTTTTGCTTGCTGTAGACTAGCAAGTGCGCTGTGATCATCCTGTGCTTTCTGCAATTGCTTGATGTCGTGTTGGTGAGACAACGACTGATTCAGTGTCAATTGCTGTGTGTTGTCTAGAAGCGTGATCTCGCCTGGTCCCGTACTGATCCTTCCGCCAGACGACCGCCTCGCACCCGTTGAGAGTCTACGAGACGATGACCCCGTAGCATCAACAACACCTGGTAATTGGACTCCCACGTCGATACTAGTAGTTGCAGACGCAGTTTTGGTAATCTCTATACTCGTACTTCCTGCGGCTGATGTAGTACCATTTGGTTCTCCTTTCTCAGGTGCTGGCGGAAAGCCCGCTGTCTTAGGGCAGCCGCGATTTGAAGGCGTTACGCTGGAGTTTCTGCGACTGCTGCTACTCGAGGAAACCGAAATTGTGTCCGCGTTGCCTTGAGTGAGCAGAACAACGGATCGCCTTGCAGCTGGCACAATAGTACCTGCATCCGTCAACAGTCCAGCTCTGCCTGCATCGGCACTGCCTTCGCTCGCAGCGGTTTTGTACGTTGTGCACGTGCTAGCACCACTCTCGGACCCACATGCAGCGGACCTGGCGTTCGTACCGTCCGACGCGCTGGTTCCCTGGGACTGGCGTCTTGACAACCAATCCTCCTCCAATACGTTCAAGATGGCTTTTTCTGAAAACAGCGTAGCTCCTTTTTTGCCAGGCGAAGAAGAGACTTCACGGATCTGCACTTGCGTTTCCTGTGCCTGCTGGTGAGGAGCCGCTGAAGTAGAACTGCTGCTGGAACTAGGAGCAGGTGAACTAGTAGGTGCACCTCCAGCTCTACTATAATCTCCCTGTTGTCCTCCTTCTACTTCTAGAGATTCTGTAGCTGGAACTACAACTCCATCACCAATGCTCACACGTCTAGTCGCACTTGCGGTGTCTGTTTCTTCCACGTCTTTTGAACGCGGCGCTTTTTGTGGCGAGAGTGCTGCTGCAGGCGTTGGGCTGCCAACGCGCTGCTTCCCTGGAGGTATAGCTAGTAAAGCGTTTTGAACAATACTAGGAGAATTTGTTGCTATAGCAGTGCCACGACTCGCAGTAGCAATGTTGTCCCCAGCAGCAACATCTGGCGCTTGCGCCACACTCACTGTCGTGACCATGGTCGTAGCGCAAAAAGGTAAAGGAACGACAGTCGTAGCATTTAAGTTCGCCTCTGCCATCTGGCGAAAAGCGCCTCCAGAGGGTCCGCCTGATGCCAAAAACGACGCCTGTCCTCCGGAACTGCTGGCTGCTGCTGCGGCTGCCACAATGTTGTGGGCTTGGGTTTGTGAGTCGCTTTGCAAGTGTTCTGATGGTTGCCACGGGTTTCTCAGCACTTGTTCCCACAGTGGATCATCAACTCGTAATTCTTGAGCCAGTGTTTTCTTCCACAATTTCCTTACTGCAGCGAACTCTCGACCATGCTTTTGCAGATACGCAACTGTCGCGCCTCGGATCAAGGACATTTCGTGCTGTGTCACATACAGATCTTGGAAAACGAAGGTCAAGAACAATTGATTTTGTTGTCTCAGAGAAGTGGAGGTACTAGAACTAGAAGAATGTGCAACCGTATTATTTCCCAACGCGAGGGTCTGTGGAATACTACTAGCATTGTTTCCGAAAGATGTTACGTCCACGGAGATACTGTTGATGCTTCCCGGAAGCACCGGCGGCCCTCCCGCAGGAAGAGGCGTGACCAGAGGCGCTCCAGTGTTACAACTCCCGATCTTGGCCAAAGACAAAGTAGTTGTTGCATTCCCTGAAGTGTCACCTCCTCCGACAGCAGACGTAGAAGTAGAGAAAGAACCCTTGTTTCCACCTTGCGCTTTCCCTCCACCATCACTCCGTACTGACTTTGTAGGAGGAAGTCCTAGACGCTCTCTGCTTGATGCGTCGTCCACTAAGCGAGGACCCGGCGACTTCGCTAGAAGATCATTTCTACCCACAACTTCACCCGAGTCCAAATCCGAATCCTCGGGAACGATCTCGACTGGCGGACCAACACGTTGTCTACGAACCAAACCTTTCAATAGTGACGCCGTCTTCGCTGACATTCGGTTCACATTCATTGCACCTCGTAAAACAGGAACTTTATTCGATGCTTCTATGTCGTCCAAAGCAGCCGAGGAAGAGGTGGAAGCCGATCCTGCTGTTGGTTCCACAGTAGATAGACTTGTTGTAGTAGCTGTTGCACTAGTTGTACTCTTCTCCTTCGTTGTTCCGCTGCACTTGGCTGTGGCGCTTGTTGCCGGAGCATCGGTCGCTCTAAAGGCAAACACGGCAACGTTCGTGCCCTCTGCTGCCTGTCGGTCGCCTAAGGCGTCGCCGGATCGCCGAAACTTAGAGTCGAAACATAATATTTCACCTATGAGTACTACATCTACATGCCCCACCTCTTTGTCATGTCATGTCACGTAACCTCAGTACTCAAATTGACTTATTGATTAAGAGGTTCTACGGATACAGTTTACAAAATCATTCAAAATTCAAAACTGTTGCCATAAAAATAACTCCCAGCACTGCTGCTTGGACACGCAGCACAACTTCCATCCACAGACTTTCCAGTTCTCTAGGATCCTTGTTCCTATTCAGCGGCACCACTAAATCCTGCCAGAATTTGAAGCAACTTTCACCAGGACACTGCTCCGGCATCTTTCCCGGTCGTTTGATCACTGCGTGAATGTCGTTACTATTATTAGTTGTAGGTTTGCTAACGACGTTGAGGTTAACGCCTGGCGCCCCTAAACCTGTGGTATTGCTTGCTCCTTGTAGATTGATATTGCTTCCGGTGTCGCTAACAGCATCGTGTTGCAGTTTTTGCAGGTCTTTTGAGGCCGTTGAAGGAGGGGAAGGAACCGGCGGAGGTGGCAACGGTGGTGGTAACAGTGCTTGATCCGGTGGTCCTGGAGCTCCCCAGCTGTCTGGAGATCCGGCTACTGGTCCTCCTTTAGACGGTGGCACTGTGGATGCGGTAGTTGCTGCAGCTCCTGGCGCACTTGTTCCTTTAGAGGTTGCAGGAGCGCTTCCTCCAACAGTAGAGGCAGTTGTATTACAACTAGTATTGCCAGGAGTGGTTCCCTGAGGAAGAGGAACTCCAGCAGAAGTAGAAGTACTTCTTGGTGAACTCGTTGGCGGCAGCGATGGCGGTAAAGACGGCGGCTTTATCGGTGGCGGAAGCAGATTCGTCAGAGGCACGCCGAGTGGAGGTGGCGTCGCTGGGATTTTCAGAGCGCCTGAGCCTGCCTTAGGTGGAGCTCCGCCTCCAGGGAGTAGTGGTGGCAAAGACGGTGGCAACATAGCAATGTCGGGAGGCGGTAGAGCAGGTACACTTCCTGGCGTCGACATGACCGAGGAACCGACTGGAGACGCCGAAGCTGCTGTTTGAAAGCTGCTTTTTGTATTGCTAGAGTGCAGCGGTAATGGAGGCCCCGCGCCAGGTGAAAATGGGTTCCTTCCCAAGGCGACGACAGAGGGTGGTGGTAACAGCACTGCTCCGGAACTATTCGTACCTGATCCACTAGCGTTGCGTCCAGAAAATCCCTGGTTGAAATTAGGACTTCCTGTCACATTCGATGTAGACGGTGATCCATGTACAGCCATGTTGTCCGCAGGTTTGCCCAAAAGCTTGATACGCGGTGGAACCAATTCGCCAATGGCTAGAGGACGTTTTAGATCGAAGAAGTGCTGTATAGCTGAAAAAAGCATGCCCCGTTCGTCTTCTTTGCGACACCGCACAAACTTCGGTATACGTGCGTCCGCCGCATCTGCAAAATGGGTAGCTGCTCCCGAACGAGAGACACTCAATTCCTCGTGAATCCTGCGACAAAGCACTACACCTGGGTCGCTCTTGTTCTTTCCTCGGGGTCTCCTCACTAAAGCAGTCGAATAATTAGTCGCTCCAAAGGGTGCCAAAGTACTACTTGTGAACGCAGAACTCGAAGAAGAAGCTCCTATCGTAGCAGTTCCTCCGTTTCTTATTGTTGTAGTCCCAGTAGCAGAACCCGACACTCCTCCATTTCTCGACATACTATTGTTGTTCCCTACACCGGCTCCAGGTGGTGCTGGTGGAGGTGGTACTAGATGAGAACGACGCCCTCCAGGAGCATCTTTTCCACCCATGGCAATAAGTCCTGCCTTAGCCGCAGGCGACAAACCTTTACTGGCACTAAAACTGACCGGTCCTGTCGGGACGCCACCTTTCACTGAACTCCCTCTTCGTACTTGTGCTGCTACAACTTGTGGCTGCACTTGCGGTTGTACTTGATGTGCTTGTGGTTGTGCCTGTCCTTGTGCTTGGCCCTGTGCTTGGCCCTGTGGCTGTCCTCCTGGGGCTACTGCTGTTGCAGAGGTTTCGCCAGGCTTAGGAGGCGAGCCTGTACCTGATTGTACCTTAGTAGTCTTGCTTTTTTGCGCTATTTTCGCCGGAGATGAATTGTCATTCTTCCCTTTTTTAGGGGATTGACTCTTTGTCCTCCCCGTGGCTCCTTTACCTCCTGACGTTGTCGTGGCAGCAGTAGAACCAGTAGCAACAGCCTTTGTCGTCGCACCAGGAACTACAGCACCAGGACCACCAGCACTACTTGTACAACTACTAGAAGAAGTTGTAGCAGGAGGACCTCCTCCTCCAGTACTAGATTTCACACCACTTGTTCCAGCACTACCACTGGCTTTCGGATTTGACGTCGTCAACGCCACCACACGGCCAAAGTTATCCAATAGAACATTAGAGATAGAGAATAATTACTGCTCGTCAAGGCTACAACACGGACAAAATTATCCAAGAAGAAACTAAGAGAGGCTTCTGCAATGTTGAATATGGATATTTATCAATACACTCTGATGTCTCTGTAAAACAGGAAGTGTCTATCCATCCATCCATAAGCAAATCATCAGCGCCGCGTTTGTTTTTTTGTCCGCCGCCTGCTGAGGACGACATCTTCTTAGTATCTGTCGGTGGCGGGGTGGGCATTGTTAATAATGGGTAGTATGGCTACTTTTCACGTCAAAGTTCGTTGTGACCACGTCGAGGGAAGTCGACTACCCGTGTCTCGTTGTGAAGAGAAGTCGTGCTTCCTATCGTGCTTCGTGGGTCCTATTAGGTTGCTTTGCTACTCCAGATAAATGACTTTTGTTGTGGAGTATCAGGCAGACGGTTGTAGTTCACGTGAGACGTTGACGTTCGTCGTGACGTCGGGACCGGGAGAAGTCGATGTCGATGTCTTCTAATAAATTTCAGCGCGTGCGCGGTGTGAAATGTGTGTCCAGGAGCAGAGGAATTTCGCTTTCCGAGAAATACAATGAAAAACCAGAACGCAGCGCAAAATTAGCGTTGACGATTCCCGAGGGTTACTACCTGGGCAATCGCATCATTTTGTCCAGAAACTACATCCACCACTTTTAGTCGTTCAGTGCTCCTCCAGCTAGGAAAAAAATCACACTTAGTATACTACTTTACACTGCGGCGTCGTGTAGTACATTTTTTACTCCTCTTCAAAATCCTTAGCTTTGAGCTTCCTTTTTGTGGTCGGCCCATGCGACAAAAAGAAAATCATATGGAATGTCGTCAGAAACACGAGTGAAAGAAACGTAAAAGGACATTCTCTAATCCATCTATCGAAGTAGGAGTAGACACCGTCACAGAAAAAAATCTAATGTATGATCATAAGTAATTATCCAGCACAGTGAAACCTACCTCCACAGTGAGATTTTGGTCATATGATTAGAAACACCTCCCTGCCTTGATTTTGATAACAAATTTCACAATACGGAGGTCACATCATGAGTAGTTGTTTGAATTTCCATTCTCACTGGAGAAATATTACCAGCAAGAGCAATGGTGACATTATCTGAGGACAATTATGTCGATTCATGCCTAGAACAAGTTGCACACGGCGTGGCCTACAAGCATTTTGGTATTTATCGTTGCTCCTGCATTTGCAAATACCAATGACCGAGACTGATGTTTGAGGGTTCATCGCCTTGTGTCTGTATTACACCAGAAGCAAAGAACTGACTCCAAGAAAATCCGCGTACGATTTCAGATTCAAACTCGCGTGTTCGCGATCTTTCTGAATGCTATAGTCTCAAAGCATGTACATTGGTCAACACCACACCAAGATCGTGACCAATTCTGTAGTCATGTCGTTGAGTTATGGTTGTCTTCACGAACTTCATTCACAGTACTGCAGCCCAAAAGAACAAATGTGGGCTCAATAAAAAAAAATTGAAGCTAAGAACCGTCCTGGTCATGCTGAGCGTGAGAAGCTGCAAAAACATGCACATGCCCTGATGACCAACATGTAGTACTACTTCTTATATTTTTTCACATGCAAGCAAGATTCCACGAGTGTCTTCGCCCATTCCACTCCGCTGTTTTCTGAGGCTTCGCCCATCCCACTTCTAGCTTGCGCCTGTGCCGTAGTTAAGACTGTAAGCACGCCATAGATTACGGGTTTCTGATGGTCCAAGTTTAGTCGCATCACACCCTGCGTCACCGCTTCTGCGATATACTCAAAATGCATGGTCTCGCTTTTGTTAGAAGAGGATTGAAGGAAGTGGTGAAAGACCTTCTATTCACTTTGGTTGCAAAGGAATAGGGACTGTTAGATGAATAGTAGTAGTAGTAGTTAACACATTCACGGGGTACAATACCTGTATTATTGATAGACACGAGAGAGTAGAACACATGTAACACAACATGCAACTTACCGAGTGATACATGACCATCGGTATATTACCCAGACTAGTGCTCATTAAAGGGTGGTAGTGAGCGTGAGGTAGAGGACACCATAACTTTTACGAGGCAGCCGATAACCAGGACCCCATCAAACTCTTTCAGCATTACGCTAGCCGCAAGCGGTAGCTCATATGCGCCAGCGACTCGCTCCACTGTTACCTTGTATTTACAACGACCTTTAGTCGTGTCTCTCGATACGCTACTTCTGACTTGTACCTAAGCAGTACTGGTGTTTCGGAATGCTCGACTATGAAAAGTGCGTGGCGTCTATTGTATCAGGAAATTAATTACTGATCACCACGCACGCCTCTACCGCAAACTAAAACTTTTTCATTCATTCATTCATTTACCTGTTCGCGAGGTATTGTCTAATTGCAAGGGGAGGGAGTGAGGGTTAATTGTCTTTTTTCATGTGTTGCAAGGTTTTGCTTTTCTTTTGATTATCTGCTTTTGCATTTCTTCATGTGTCTCTTCAATATGTAAAATACTGAAGCGCCACAGCCCTCAAGGGTTTTCACTGCTCCGTCCAGGAGAGAGCCGCATATATCTGGATTCCATCTCGCACACACAATCCCAAGTCTACTTAGAGAAGAATCTACTGTAGCTGCAACTATCTGCTGTTCATCTACAGTCTGTTGCCAGTAGTTCCATTTTGATCTTAGACATATTAGCGAGTTCCATCTTAAGGTCATCTAACAAGCCATAATTTGAGTCCGCTGCCGTCGAATGACGCCTCAGGCAAGCCACGTAAAGGGTCACTTGGTGGGGGCATTTTGGTGATTCAAAATAACGATTTTTAGGGCGATAAGTGTTTGAAATGAAGAGTTCTACTTCAAGTATAAGTATTCTACTTGGTATTCTCTCGCCTCGACCTCGTGTGCGCTCCCCTGCCAGGATTCAACAAAGTTAAACTCTGGATAGGATAGGATCGATACCAAGCTAAATGCTGCTTGGAACCGATTATATGACGATGGTTCTCCTATTCAAGTTCAAGTTCTGAGCTGGCCTTATACCCTGGATCTTTGTTGCATCACGTCAGCAAGAACACGGCAGGAAAGCAAGCCGAAAAAAGGACAATAGACCTCCCAGTCCCAGGTTGTACTATAAAAAATCTTCCACAAGTGATTTGTTGCCATTTTTCATGTCATGTGACTGCTCGTCCGAGTTGCTGGAGTTCTAGCTTATAACTGTTTCAGTGTGGGCTATAAACTGTTACGTGTCACTATAAAACGCCTTGCTTCGCCTTCTTTCAAAGTTAATCACGTTAAAAATGCATCTCTCTCATCATTTCACGTCTGCAGATGAAAATAGATGCCTGCTTTCCTTTAAAAGTTCACAAGACGCTCCTCCACCTCTAAAAAGTTGTTCACAAGACGCTTCTCCACCTTGAAAAGTTCACAAGACGCTTCTCAAGCTTTAAAAAGTTGTTCACACAAGAAGACTCATTCATTCGCTCATCACAGAAAAAATCAGAATAATAATGATGAGAGGACTCGACTACAATCTAATGTTCTCGACGTTTATGAATAGTAAGTAGTATTCGTGTACCCATTCATGGGGTATAACACAAACGTCGAGATCGCCTTCCATAGCACAACAATTTGAATCTCACTTCTTCTGCTTGAGTACAAGGTCAAAACACTTTCACACTTTTTTACATACTCAAGAACTGCGTTTTAGCATGAAAATATACAGAGCGAAGTCGCATTTTCATGAAAATATACAGAGCGAAGTCGCATTTTCATGAAAATATACAGAGCGAAGTCGCATTTTGTACCTCAAATACAACTAAGGCATCCCACATGCTAAGTGTCATGCGCCATCCTTTCAGGTGAGGATGTTAAAATCACTGGACGAAATTGAAGACGACTACATCCTATATTAATTGCTATCATATTATTGCATTCCCTATTATCACACGGCACTGGACGAAATTGAAGACGACTACATCCTATATTAATTGCTATCATATTATTGCATTCTCTATTATCACACGGAATTCTCCAAACGCGTGCTAAACAGAGGAACTCTGAAATTTATTAGTAAGAGTAGCTGTTTAGTAGTATTATAAGGAACAAGGCTAAAATCGAAGATCTTTTTCCATATCCGTCTCAAGAGACAGTCGCATCTATCACTTGCTCATCTCAGTGCGCCTTATCAAACATCTGTTTGAATGCCGCATCGAATCTCCCTAGTTCTTTCTCCAAGATCTTCACCTTCTTGGTCAACACGTCTTCTTTCCTTGCGAGCACCTCATTTCGTGCGACCATCCACATCGCCATCACGCAAGCTTCATTAGAGCTGTCCTAGCATGTAAGTGAGCTCTCATCACTATGCACTTGTTCCATCACTATGCGCTTCCTACACCACGCGAACATCTTCTGTAGGAAATCAGAATGAGTTATGGAGTGAGCTCATGCGGCGTGATCACAGAGCAAGACGCTGTGTAATCACAGAGCGAGATGCTGTGTAATCACAGAGCGAGATGCTGTGTAATGATCCAAGATCTTTAATGAATCAGAGCAAGATAGAGCGAGCTTAACTTTATCTTCGCGCACGTTGGTCATTCCGTAGCCACAGGCGAACCCTGTAGGGGCGCCACCCCATTTCGTGAAGTCCAAATTTCCATTCATAGCACCTTTCGGCATTTTCTCGTCATTGTAGCGAAAGGCCGGACCGTGCAGACCGCGCCACTCCCTGTCTTTCGGATCGTTTACCGCGTCATCGGCGTAGTCTATCATGTGATAGAGCTCATGATAAAACACCATTTTCATTGCAGCCCCAGTCGGGCGTCGAGTTCTATTAGAAAACGTTGGGGCTGCAGGAGCGCTCTTACATGACCTTGCAGAGAACTAGATTACCTTGCAGAGAACTACATTACCTTATTTCCACGACTCAGTCTTGAAGAAGAGGAGCTGTTTGTATTTTTCTTCTAAGCTGTAATACTCAGTGAGAAATCCACGACTCATAACCATGCTCCAGCACAAAATCATTCGTCGCTCGCCTTTTTTAGTGCCACCTTTAGCCAAACCTCCGCACTGCATCCCCCCCATCGTCAAATCATTCACTACCACGATATCATCCAAGCACTTTTTCCTTTTCAGAAAGGCACAGGGAACGGTTCGAAGGATGCAAAGCAGCGAAAAGGGATCGTCGGGATTCAACAAGTCCTTTTTCTCTTGAGCCGACAATGCGCTGCTAGAAATCCTGTAGGGCTTCGCGTCCGCCTCCGGAACCTTGTCCAAAATCAGAGGAATGCCGAAAAACTTCTGGAAATTCGCGATTCTCTGATCTGGCGTCATCTTTCTGATCTCGTCTTTGGAGAAGTGTGGGTCGCTAGTGCATTCATCAAAACGTAGGTGTGCAGGGAGATGGGGACTGTCGCCGGAAGCTTGGGCTCTCTGCTGCTGCTGTTGTCTCTGCAACTGCGCTTGCCTCTGTTGCTGTGCCTGGGCTGCGGCTCTCGCTTGTTGTTCTTGCCGTTGCTTCGCCTCTAATGCGGCTCTCTGTTTTGCTTCCGCCTCTGCCTTGGCTCGCGCTTCTGCAGCCGCCTTTGCAGCTGCTTCCGCTTTTGCTCGTGCTTCCGCCGCGGCTTTCGCCTGCGCCTCTGCTGCCTTTGCCTTGGCCGCATCTGCCGCAACCCGTGCTGCCTGTTCTTAGAGAGGGCACAATGATAGATTGATCTTTTACATAGAAGATCATACTCTCAAAACAGCTTCTGAAGAAGTAGAAATGGCATCTGAACAATCAAAGAGCAAGATTTATAGTAATAGCTAAGTTGTGAAGATCAAGAATTTCAATCACTTTTAAAATATGAGCCTTAATCTTTTTTTGCTTCCTCTTCTGCCTTCCTCTTCGCCTCCGCATCAGCTTTTGCTTTGTTCTGAGCTTCCATTAGTCTTTGATCTTTCTCTGCCCATCCTGCCCTCGTCTTCCCATTCGCATCCAACGCCTCTACGAGAGTCTTTATTTGCTCATAACTTGTCACATTCCCTTTAGAAGCATCCATTTTCACAGAACTCTGCAAAACGTCTTTCACCGTTTCCTTTTTGTCGTTCACAAGGCGCTTTTGTCCAGAGCCCGGTATAGTCAGCACTACTTTTTCCCCTGTTAAGACCATATCCGAAAGCGTGAAGTCATTCACCAGCATCTCCAGCATCGCCACATGACGATAACGCACTGCCAAATGGAAGATCGTGTCTCCAGCGACCCCGTCAAAGGTAGTGTGAGGCCAGCCCTTGCCGTCTGGGAACAAATCTGGCGCATTTTTGAAAGCGGCACCAAATTTCGCCGGACAAATCCCTTCCTCCTCTAGGCGTCCATGTTCCAGCAGAAGGTCCATCACTGCGTCGACATCTCCTCTTTGGAACGCTAGAAACATCTTTTGCTCCGGAGAGAGCTTGTCCGATTTCACCATCTTTGCTACCCATGCAGCGTCTTGCGCAGAGATCTTACCGGTTGGTGGCGGAGCATTCGAGGGAAGCGCGGAGATCCCACCTACCTCCCCTCCTCCAGAATCATCATCATCATCATCATCTCCTCCTCCTGGAGGGGCACAATCCGACAAACCTGAGTTCTCCAGCAACAGGTCCGCAACTTTCGCCAGCTCACTTGCGTTCGCGCCCTGACACAGCTGCAAGTCTCTTAAAGCTTGCAAGCCTTTGTCGGGTTTACCCAGTAAAATCGCGTCGAAGTCTTCTTTTGTGATCATCGTTTCGTGCTCCACTGTCTCCGAAGATCTTCCTCTCTTCTTGATCATCCGCACCGCCATACCATCGGGCAGTCCTAGCTCTTGTTCTTTCTCTGTTAGCAACTCTTTCACCTTTGTGAGCGGGACAGAAGCTGCTGATGCTGGAGATGGAGATGAAGATGCTCCTGCTGCGCCTCCATCGCCAAACCCTAACTCCTCTCTGTGCATTGCCCATACATACAAAGCGACTGCTTTCAACACCTGTAAAAAATCACGCACGTCTGTAATTGCCAAAGCTTTATTACCATCCTGACTACTACTAGCAGACGAACTCTTAGTAGTGCCAGAACTGTCGAACTCTTGCAAAATCGCTGGCGCCAACTCCTCACTCTGACCCACGTAGTACATCAGCAATTTCATCTCCTCCTCGCCACTTATGACGCCGTTGCCATCCTTGTCTATCAGTTCCATTGCTTCGTTCAATTCCGCAATCTCCCATGGCTCAAGAGCCACGCCACCCGCACCCATAAGCATTTGGAACAGGTTTTCATAAGACAAATCTCCTCGTTGGTACAACAGCCGTAGAAACAACGTCGCATCAGCGTGAGTGATGGATCCTTGGATGGTCGTGCCGGACGGAACTGAGACTCCGGATGAAGGTAGATCCGTATCTGAGAGTTGCGAATCTTTGAGCAAAGAATTGAACTCCTTTCGTAAGTCCTTTGCATCGTCGCAACCCACAACTTCGCAAAAAACGCTCAGCTCCTCCCCTTGTAGAACCCCATCATGGTCCGCATCGAGGGTGCGGAAGATCGCATCAGCGATCTCAGAAGACCAGGTGGGACGGGACATGATTCGTGTCAGTGTAGAGATGCTCGATCGATGTCAAGTGCTGGACGAAACGTCTTCTGAAGGAAAACGTAGTCTAAACGTGTGAATAAGTAGACCTAAATGGGTCGGTCGCCGTGGGGAAAATAGCGCGATAATATGGTACCTAGCGATTATAGGTCTCGAAAAAAAAGACGGAAAACTCTGCTAGGCAGCTGGATATTCCGTTTGGGAGAAGGAAGAGATATAAATTCGTTCATATATTTCGAAAAAGAACGCGCATGTGATAAACTCGACATCTTCGAAAAAAATTGCGTGGCTCAGCACTCGGTGTTGAACACACATAAGGACACGACGCAAACTCTCACAGACACTTCACCGCCATGCTCATGTGAGAATTCTTTTCTCATGCGAGATCACTCAACAGAGGACATTGCGACAGGCTCTTTTCACTACTTGATTGCTCTCCCGACATATGACATAAATATACTTCAAAATAATCAGTCTAAAATAGAGGTCTATTAAATGTCGAAACTCAAAAACATGTGACGAGAGGTTGACTCAGAGGTGGGGAGGAGAGAATGTCTGGAGGTAGTCAGAAGGGAGAAGATAACCGAGAGCGATCGTGCCAACAGTTAGGTACGAAGAGAGGCCCAGGGGTGTTACCTTGAGCACCCTCTGCAGTAACGCCTCCAGATGCTATACAACTTGTGGCCAACAAGAAGTATAAGTGCACCTCCGTTGTCTGGCTAGGACAACCCGCACAACGACAGAGATCCGGGACAGAAAATTCATGTCTTTCACATATCACTTCTGGTCTCGTAATTACTCTCGTTTTTCTTTATACTTGGAACACAAGAGATGACGAACATAGAATTCTCGTCTTTAAGTTCAGTTTTCAAAGATCAGTTCTACATAAAAGCCTGCAAGCACTTAATTGGCCAAATTAAGAAACCTAGATGGATACTTCAGAAGAAGTAAGCTCCAAGACATCAACGAGGATGACCAAAGATCAGCTTCAACACCAGTATCAGTATGCGGTAGTGGGTAGTTTCACGCTGAAGAATAATGCTAGCTGGCTGAAGGATCTGTAGTGTGCATAAGAAGAGAGAACAATTGTGAAGATTGAGTGCAGAAGTTAAGCATGGGAGAGATCGTAATCTTTGTGAAGGTCCGGATCTTGTGATGTATTCTTGAGCAAAGATATTGGCGTTCGATCTTGTGTTGAGTGGGGTGCTTCTAGAGGATGAGCGCGCATTTTGTTGTTGATCTTGTCGAAGAGAGCCGTCACCCGAACACGCGTTTGCCTTCCGCATCGACCGTTAAAAAGATTCTTGTATTCAAGTTAACTTGTAGTATCGGACTTTTCAAAAAGGTCAAAATTTGTGCACAGTTCACTGTGTATTGAGTCTACTCGATCACTTTCTTGTCATGTATTAAAAACTACACGGCCATTTAATTCATACATCAACTTATCATAAATACTTATATTGTAAGAACTGATAATGTTATTATTCGTAAGAACTGATAAAAATGTAAGAACTATTATAAAAAAATGGAGAAGATGGGTGGTATTTAATTTCATTTATCTACGATTGTACTTAGTCGAATCTAGTGGAGGACGACAAAGGAGCTTGTAAGTCAAAATTCTGCACAAGAGTACTCGACTGCTCTTGTGGTCCAATAAATTTCTTACGCTTTCTTGGAATCAGCATCTTGACGTTCTTTTACTGCGTTCGTGAGACTGCTGTGTGCTCGATGCTGTTGCTTTCTAGCAATACCTTAAGCAGCTCACTATCTACCTTTTCTGCACGTTCGTTGGCCAGGAAATCCCCAAGACTCCAGTCTGCAGTATTCTGTGGCTGACTACAAACGTGGTTGAGGTTGTATTCCTAGCAGAAGTTTTTCAGTACTGTGATACAAGTAACTAGTGGGCGTTGATTACCTTGAATGTTGCGAGCTTCCACTCGTTCGTAGGCCCCTGAGAAAACAGTATCTTTGAGAGTGCATAGCCCACAGTCCCCAGTAGTAGCACGACTCGAGTGTAAAGCACTAAGTTCCACCCTAACAGGTTCCCCAGCAATCCCAACAGGGTTGCGCATGTAGCGAACGACAAAAGAGGTGCCACAACTACAATAAAACCGGCAGAAGCCCTAAACGTGAGCGCGCCGCATACCTATAAGATGGCCACTTTCAAAACTAAACAGACCATGCTGGTAGAGGGAGGGGTCGCTAGAGTGACAACTAGTGAGCTGGTTGTGTAGACTTTCTGAGTTCTGATTGTTGTAGACATAGATAGTGTCGAAACTCAGTCTGTCGCAAAAGTTCTTGTTCCCGTGCTTGCATGATACCCAAAGAATAAGAACGGGCTCAGATTCATCAAGTACTTACTTACTGCAAGATCTCATCACCATCTTTATGTGTATCTTTGCTAGACAAGCTCGTATCTTTCTCGTTCGCAAATTTTTTCCAATCGGCATCAAACATCCGCTGTAGTTGTAGTTCAGCGGACGTTCCATTACCATCAATAAATCTCACTTCTTCACGCATCGCGTACTGTCCTTCCTTCGCTAGGTTCTGGTGCGAGGTCAAGAGGGATATGAACAAGGACACTGACGAAAACCATAATAAACCTCTGGTACGGAGTCAAAATGTCTACATACAGAAGCATTTCGGTATTCGGACATGTAGTAGTAGCTGTGAAGTATAAGTAGCAGTGCGTTATTTCCGATATGAATCTGACCTACATGAACACTGTAAACTCATCCAAAAGCTTGAAAAGCTGCGATCTGCTTTTTGGCTTTTGCGAGTCGCATATCTGCATCCATTTTGTGAATGGCTTTACATACCCACCATTTTTGGATTTGCATTGGGAGACTTCAGAAAAAGTTTTTTTTTTGTAACCTTGGGGAGATTGAAAGGGCCTCCGAGCTTTATCCAGTTCGCAAACCGGCGGCAGGCGGGGCAAGTTAACCCCTCTATTAAGCTATACTCTACGAGCCCGCCGATTATAAAAAGATCAATAAACTACGAGGTTGAGGGAATGGCTACGCCACAATTCCCAGCGATGTGCCAATCGCCTCACTCATAGCGCAGACACTCAGGTCGGGGCGAACAGGGTGCCACCTGCTACTTCTACCCACATCGCCGGGCTCAACCATTGGTGAAAAAGAACTAGCTGATAGCCAATATTTTGGTGTAAGACCATACGTAAAGCCATGCTGATTAGTCACGTCAGTAAACCGGCACTACGCTAGTTTTCTTATCTCTTCAAGCGAAGTCTCCGCTTCGTCACTTGTCACGCATCCTTTCCGCGTCCCACCCAGACGGCCGCAGACGCTTCCACCGCTGCAGAAAGCTCGATCCGTCGCACGATCCCGATCGACGTCTGCTCGCACGCAAAAGACCAGAAAACACAAAACCGGGGAAACCGGAATACAGCACGGAAAAGTACAGCAAGGGGACCTGCTAAGGGGGCACAGAAAAAAGCGCCAACAAGTTGCGGCAAAAAACCATGCAGGGTAGACCCGGTGAAGTGTGTTGCTTTGTTGCAGTACCAGCGCCAGACCGATTCAGAAAAAAAGGCGCCACTCTCAAGTCCTACGAGGTGAACAGAAGACAGGGTCGAGCACTGATCAACTCGTCACTTGAAGCACCCCCAACCATCAGATGGAAGGAGCAACTACAAATGCTCTCACTTCTGGCCACCAGATGGGGCGCATTGCGTTTCACAAACGACAGACAAGAGTAGAAATAGACAAAAAAGAAACCTTTTGCTCGATCATCTAGACTGCATATTGTGCGATAGAACCGAAACACCAACAAACGCGCCCTTCTTCTCTGAAAGTATCACTTTTTCTGGCCAACACATGGGGCGTAGTTCGTTTTACAAGCAGCAGACAGGTGGAAGACAACATGAAGGACTAACCACAAGGAAAAAAGAAGAGAAACTTTAGAACCAGCTACCACTTACAACAGTAGACAAACCCAAGCCAACTACAACAGCCGAGTCCTGCCTTTTCGCTACAACAGCCATAGAAGACGAGAGAGCGCCAGCTAGGAAGTAAGAGTCGACACGACCAAAGCTAAGCTTTAGACAAACACCCAAGCGGAACGGATGCTCAAGGGAGAAAGGGCTAGAAAAGAATCAGCGCAGAGACATAGCAGCGCAATACCTATAAACAGTAATTCAGAACTAAGTAAGGCCGAACCATATTCGAGCACGGAGAGAAAAAAAGCTTACTCGAGTAAGAGGCCAAGACAAGACACTACTACTAGCTACTTACTTCGCCTACACAAAATAACAGCACTGCCCACAGGTGCATGACCGAGAGAGAGAGAGAGGGAGGGAGAGTAACTGATTTCGCGAGCAAGTTACTCACGAAGACACAGCTATGCCATGAAGATGCGTGCCTAGAACTTGAAAAAAGAAAAATGCAACGGCTGTCAGTCACAAGAAACTAGTCAGCCCACCTTTCCAAATTCTGTCACGCAAATAAGCGCGGTGGCTTTTATATTCATCCGCGCTCTTGTTCATGTAGTAGCACTCATTCGACCCATGTATCTTCAGTCACGAGGATGGTCTATCTACAGCCCGGCTTTTGGGAAGAGTAAAAAACAATCTTTGAGAAGTTTTAATTGGAAGAAGTAGAGCGACAAGAAAACTGCTGCAGAAGAAACGCAACAGCTAGCAGCTTCTTACTCTTAGATGGTTGAAGATTTATAAGTACCCATATCGGCCCTGCACCTTCTTGCCCGTATTGGTTGTCGAACATACATAAGCAGAAAGCCTTAGCAAGCATCTTGCAGCTCCTTGTTCGTATTCGTTGTCGAATATACATAAACAGAAAGCTGGAAGACCAGATCACTGAGGACTAATTCTTCAAGTCCTTACTCTTATTGTATTCAACCTGATGACGACATGCTTCTTGTTTTTCGTTCTTCTTCTTTTTTCTTCAATAATATAATATGGCCAGAAAGAAAAGACTGTAATTCTTAATGATAGTGATGCCAGTGTGCACAGAAACGGATCCGCGCCCCTTGACGTACTAGACCAGGATCCCCCACTGATCTATATGCATCTACTGAGGCGGGGTCTCCGATAGAAATACAGCCACAATCTTTTAGTTTACAACAATACTCCTGCGGGAGCGAACCCCCTACAGAAGGAGGAACAGAAACCCCGTCGAAAAAAAAATGAACTCCATCGCAATTTCTCGTGTTAGATAATGCGGAGGAGGTCCTAAGTGTAGTTGTAGATAGAAAAGCCTCCTCACTTTAATGCAGCAAAAAGACAAACGAATGGCCTGAAAGAAAACTTCAGACATCTTCGTCCCCATCATCTCTCAGCAAGAAAGCCCTTCTCCGATGCAAGGCAAACCTTCTCTCTTCAATGGAGATTCTGAAAATGATTCTTCACAATTATATATAAACATGAAACTTAAGTAATCCGATTCTGTACATCTTCGCATTCTATCTAGAAGGTACTGATACTGATTTAGAAACAAAGACGAGAGCTGATCATCTTAATAGAAAAGTATGCTCATAATATCGCGCTTCTTGATTGGATCACCCGAGTACCCCTATCACCCCCATAGAAACTAATTAAAATCCAAAAAAAAGCCATATGAAATGTCACCGTTTTTTTTCGTCCTTACACGTCAAGGCCGCGGCGAGGGGGCTCAACTCCTGAGATCACATGATGACTAAGTATGGGCGCCGGTGATTGCCAGGTCAGCTAATGACTAAGTATGGAGGGTATGGATTGGGCTACTGGAGTATCGTCCAGCAGGCATAATAGAGGAGCGTAGAAGTGGCATTGATTAGACATATTGAACCTTAGCCGCGTGATGTCTGTTGATGCTGAGCACTAAGCAACTCTTTGGCGCGATAGTGTGATCATCAGCGTGATCGCGGTGCCCCCCTCAGTATATCTATAAGTATTGCTTTGAACAAGATGCTCACACGAAAAGAATTGACTCTATTAGAAGTAACAAATGGACTTCTCGGTATAGGAGAGCCTCACTGTCAGTCGTCGCCACTTGCTAGTTATCAAATAGTTGCTAAGCTTCAACAGCTTTATTGTTCTTCTTCTAACTCTCGTCTCGATCTGCCTTACGTCCACGCCTTTTCTGTTTCACTGAAATCGACCTTCCAGACCGAGGCAAGCTTCTTCAAGTTCGAGGCCAGCGTCTTCAGAGCCAAGCTCCTGCAGAGAGGTGGATGTCGTCTGCTAGATGTGCTTCAGGTGGGGCATGGGGATGAGGATGAGGATGGGCATGAGGATGGCCACGACTTCTGTTTTGTTGTTTAGCCGGAATGAAGCCGAAACCCGCGGGCGGAGCTTGTTCTTCAGATGGGTCGGCTTCTTCTTTGGACGGCTCACCACTCTGAGCAAGGGCTACGCTGTCTACTTGGTCTAGCTCTCTAGAAGTAGGAGTCTTTCCCAGCTGCATCGCTTGCAGAAGCTTCCCAACTTCCTCAGCATCTACGTCGTCTATGTCGACGACTAAACGCCGCTCCCCCTTTCCAGTTGTAGCAGCTGTGCCAGCTGTTGCGCTGTGCTTCCCAACTTCCTCAACATCTACGTCGTCTATGTCGACGATGAAACGTCGCTCCCTCTTTCCAGCTGTAGTAATTGCGCCAGTTGTTGCGCTGTGCTTCCCAACTTCCTCGGCATCTACGTCGTCTATGTCGACGATGAACCGTCGCTCCCTCTTTCCAGCTGTAGTAGCTGCGCCAGTTGTAGTAGGTTTACTACTGTAAGATGGACGCACAGCTACAGCAGATTGGTCTTGCCCCTTTGAAGAAGATGAAGGCGTGGGCGAGGTCTTTTTACTTTTCGGAATGGCTTTAACGCTGTCACTGGCTCTAGCACTAGCGTTAGCCCTAGCGCCAACGCTAGCACGCAGTCCAGCGGCGCTAGATGATGACTTTCCTCCGTCTTCTCCCATGGCTGTTTTAGTTCCCATCGCTCCTCCACGTCCCATCAAACTGGCCCCGCTGGTCCATGCCTCTGGCTTCTCCTTCCGACGATGGCAGTCCCCTCTCTGATGTTTTTGCCTTCCGCGGTCACTTTTCTGTGCTTTCCACGTGCATACGTGACAGAACGCGCAGTTGCCCCCGTCTCTACAACCGATGCCGAGGCCTCTCCTCATCTTCTCCACAAACTTACAAGGCCCCTTCGGGCTCGGAGGATTGCAAAGGCACTCGCCGCTTCTAGGTTTAGCCTGATTCTGACTCTGTGGCCGATTCTGACTCTGTCCTCCTGCGGTCGCAAAAGGTGCCGGAGGAGGAGAGATCGTCTCGCCAATTGCTTCCTTTGGTACTCCACTTCCACTCTGAGGAACTTCGTGACGAGACTGCCCCTCCTGCTGGTTATCAGATACCAGTGCAGAAGGCCCTGCAGGCGGAGCGACTTCATATGCTGAGCCTAATCTTGCGAGCAGAGAAGTCCCTTGCATGAAACCCGTACCCGCCTGGTGCGTCTGCGGAGCATCAGTCTGCCCACACGGCCCATTTCGCAGGTTCGTCGCCGTATAATATCCAGGCGCCCCTTGCCCGCCTTGCTGCTGCGGCTGCAGGGGCTGCGGCATTGGCACCGGAGGAGGCAGAGGCCGCTCTTGCTGAGGAAGCAGAGGCTGCATCTGTTGACGCCTCTGCTGCGGCGGCGTCTGTTGCTGCGTCTGTTGATGCTGCTGAGGAAGGAGAGGCTGCCGCTGCTGCTGCTGCTGCTGCGCATGTAGCGTGTGCCCCTGCTGCTGCATCTGCTGCTGCTGCTGCTGCTGCTGAGAAAGGTGCTGCGCCTGCTGCTGCTGCTGAGAAAGAAGAGGCTGCGCCTGCGGCGCCTGTTGCTGGAGGTCCGCAGGGTGCTGCTGTTGTTGTTCTGGATAAAGCGTCTGACCCGGATTCGGAAGGGGGCAGCCGTGCTGTCGTTGTTGTTCTGGATAGGGCGCCTGACTCGGATTCGGAATAGGACAGCCCACTACGACACACGGGCCATGGACTACAAAGCCGAGCAGTACTCCTGGGGCTGGTGCCTGTTGCTGCAGTTGTGGCGAAAAAGCACTAGGGGCCGCCATCTGCGGAGGACGATTGGCCGGAGGAAAGCACGAGGGAGTCTGAT